AATGAATTTTACCCTAATTTATGTTGTGTTAATATTCTTGTGCTAGAGAGTGTTATAGTGTTAAACAATAATATAGTTAATATTATTGTTGACCACAATTGTATTACTGTTTTTACGGGTTAAAAAATGTTCAGGGAAAAAATTCAAAAAGAAAAAAAAAGTCAACGCCGCAGACCGAAGGTCATCGGCGATGACAGACAAAATTGGGGTCTAAATTGGGCTAGGGTTCAAAATTGATTAATTAAGTCAAATGGAGGTTAAATTGCAATAAATGATGAAGTAAAAGAGTTATTGGTTTGGACTGCTTTAGAAATAAGTTGACCATAATGGGCTTATATATAAGGGGTCTTAAGATATAGGTCCCTAGTGATAAACCTAATTAGAACTAAATGACAAGCTCAACTAAACATTTGCTTCACATCCTTTATAAAATTTATTCCGAAAATGCCCTTTCACTCATTTTTTTTTTTTCAATTTTCACTCTAACATTTTCTACATTATTATAAACAGTTTTTTTTCCTTATTTTTTATGTTTTATTGGAAATTACGAGAAACAAAATTGTTAAATAATTCAGCAAATTTTAAAAATACTATGGTGCACTATGGTATACTATGGTGTACTATAATTTTTACAACATTATTAAAAAACAAATCTTACATGATATTGAAAATTACGAAAAAAAATTTAATTTTCGTTTTTGTTAATTCAAGCTACATATATTTTAATTTTTTTTAATTTATTTGTTGTCAATATTGTAGTATACCATGTAGACTATTGTAGTATACCATGTAAACTATAGTATACTACAGTGTACTATAGTCTACTACGGTATACTACCAAACCCTAGCAGCCAACAACACCCAATCTCGCCAACCCTTCGTAAACACAGCAGCCGTCAAATCCTAAAAACCAACACCGCCGACCACCACAGCCCCCCAACACCGCCGACCACCGCAGCCACCAACACCGCCGGCCACCGCAGCCCCCAACACCACCGGCCACCACAGCCCTCCCCACCGCCGACCACCGCAGCCCCCAACACCACCGACCACCACAGCCCCCCAACATCGCCGACCACCGCAGCCTTCAACACTGCCGACCACCACAACCCCCAACACCGCCGACGACCACAGCCCCCCAACATCGCCGACCACCGAAGCCCCCAACACCGCCGACCACCGCAGCCCCCAACACCGCCGACCACCGCCGACCATCGCAGCCCCCCAACACCGCCGACCACCGCAACCCTCCAACACCGCCTCGACCACCACAAACCCCCAACACCGCCTCGACCACCACAACCCCTCGCCGCCGCCTCGACCACCACAACCCCTCGCCGTCGCCTCGACCACCACAACGCCTTGCCGGAAGATAAAGAGGCGAGAGAGAGAGGGAGAAGAAGAGGCGAGAGGCGAGAGGCGTAAACAAAAAAAAAATCTGAGAGGAAGAGGCGAGAGCGAGAGGGAGAGGGAGCGGCGAGATGCGAGAGAGAAAACTAAAAAAAAATGATTAGTTGAATAAACGTGGGATATTATATTTAGGGTATAAGGGCAAACTAGGGATAAAATAAAAATTAGGGATGTGGGTCATATATTATTTCAAAATAGGGATTTAATTAAAAGATTGAATTTAAGGTTGTCATTTAGTTCAAATTAGGTTTCATTTAAGGGACTCTTAGCATATTAACCCTATATATAATATGACATATTTCTAATTTCATATTAATACTTAATATCGCTTTTATTCGCTCCAAATATTGTGATACAGACGAATTAATTGTATTGTACCTTTCAATTGGTTATACTTTAAAGAGGAAGATGAAATCAAATGAGTTACATTATAATCAATAATTATACTATCTTTATCGATAATGTTTTTTATTTTATTTCCAACGAGGAACGGAGTCATCATCTATGTTGATCTATTACGAATCATTCATTTGTCATCGATTTTAATAGTATAAATGAGCTTGAAATAGGCTGGGAAGTTTTAATTTTATAATTAATTTCATTTAATTAATTTGTTATATTTTGTATTTTATTTTATGTACATTTTCTTAAAGTGATCAAGAATTTTGTGGTCTAAATGGTCCTAATTACAGCAATGAATATGTATAAAAAATGTATAGTAATGATTTAATCATATTAATACGGGATTTTATTTTTTCTTACTAAAAAATGTTAATACAAAATTGATGATGCTAATTACTAGCTCACCTAGGGTGGTGTAGAAAACGAACTGGGAGAGCAAAGCAGATCAATAGCTTGACAACTTGATGATCCTGAGGTACCTGCGATCATAGAACACATAAGCTAAGCCGGGGGTTGATCCGGCGGAAACCCCTCCGACGCTCAAGTCAGACGTGCTGATCATAGAAATAGTCCAGAGAATACCATTAGTAGTATTGCTCAGATAATAGAACGTACCTTATCGAATGAGTTCAAATGTGTATTTATAGCTTAGTTGAGATTGTCGGGCCCAAACCTTGCTTGAAGGTGATTGGGCCTCGGTGATAGTAGTCTTCGATATTGGGCTCGTGGCCCGGTAGATAAATAATTTGTAGGCCCATTGGGTTTGGCCAATTAGGCATATCAAAAATTTATCTAATAAAATTTAAATTTTGAACACGGGTGCATTTTTTTAAGTAATTAAATAAGTTACATTATAATTAATAATTATACTATCTTTATCGATAATGTTATTTATTTTATTTCCAACGAGGAACGGAGTCATCATCTATGTTGATCTATTACGAATCATTCATTTGTCATCGATTTTAATAGTATAAATGAGCTTGAAATAGACCGTGAAGTTTTAATTTATAATTATTTCATTTAATTAATTTGTTATATTTATTTTATTTTATTTTATGTACACTTTTTTAAAGTGATCAAGAATTTTGTGGTTTAAATGGTCCTAATTACAGCAATGAATATGTATAATAATGATATACGATAATATTGTTTTAATACGGGATTTTAATTTTTCTTACTAAAAAAATGTTAATTCAAAATTTATCTAATAAAATTTAGATTTTGAACACGGGTGCATTTTTTTTAGTAATTAAATGTATTACATTATAATTAATAATTATACTATCTTTATCGATAATGTTATTTATTTGATTTCCAACGAGGAACGGAGTCATCATCTATGTTGATCTATTACGGATCATTCATTTGTCATCGATTTTAATAGTATAAATGAGCTTGAAATAGACCGTGAAGTTTTAATTTTATAATTATTTCATTTAATTAATTTGTTATATTTTTTATTTTATTTTATGTACATTTTTTTAAAGTGATCAAGAATTTTGTGGTTTAAATGGTCCTAATTACAGCAATGAATATGTATAATAATGATATACGATAATATTGTTTTAATGATTTTAATTTTTCTTACTAAAAATATATACAAAATTTGTCTTATAAAATTTTAATTTTGAACACGGGTGCATTTTTTTTAGTTTGACTTTAATGACTTCTCTACACTATGAATTTTGGTCATAATATTATAGGACAAATTACGGCCAACCCCTGAGTTATAGTCAAATTACGAAAATCGCCCTTACAAAAATACTCCTCCA